CAGACCTCAGCTGCTCTCTTTGACACCTTCACACTTTCAACACCAGAACCATGCAGGAGACTCTTACATATTACCAAGTCCTGCTTTCAGCTTGACATGGAAGCTCAGGCCCCCTGTGGACCATAGTTTCTGTGTGCCGACCCTGAGGAAATACTTCCAGGAGACTTCACCACAGTGATGCTGGTCTCTTGTTACTTACAGCTGATTTTCCAGCCCCAGCTAACCAGCATCAATTGTCCCAGTAAAGCAAAGGTTTTCTTTCAGGTTCTGGTCTCCTCTCAATCACACTGATTCTTCAGCCCCAGGCGACCAGAACCCACAGATTCTCAATTCAAAATCTCACACAAACAGCTCTGATAGTCTCCACTTCTCTTTGAAGCTTCATAAGCCAGGCCTCCATCATCCACAACTCTTTCAGCCTAACTGTTCCAAGCTTCACAGCGACAAACTCTTATCACGCAATGGCTTTTCCAACCCAAAGTTCCAAACACTTCCACAGTCCTCCCCAAAACACCAAGGTCAGGTCTGTCACAGCAATATCCCACTCTCTGGTACCAGTCTGTCTTGGTTTGTTTCTTTATTGCTGTGACAAAATACTCTGACCACTACCAACTTCTGGAGGAAAGGGTGTATTTATATTACATATCCTGGGTCGCAGATAATCCGGGAGCCCAAGGTAGGAACTCAGGGCAGGAACTTGGAGGCAGGAGCTCGAGCACCGAGCACCAACCACAGAGGAGCGCTGTTTACTGACTTGTTTCTCAGCCTGTGCTTAGGCCTCAGGATCACCTGCCCATGTGTGGCACTAACCACAGTGGATTAGGCCCTCTCACATCACTCAACAACCAAGAAAAATACCTCAGAGACATGCTCACACACAGGCCAGTCCAATAGAGGAAATTCCCCAACTGAGGCTCCCTCAATCCAGGTGTGTCAAGTTGACACTAAAGCTATCCAGCACAGTTATTTTTATTTTATGTGTATGAATGTATTGCCTACGTGTATGTTAAGCAGTGCCTCAGAGGTCAGAATAGTATGTCGGATCCCCTGGAACTGGAATTATGGATGGATTTTAGCCACCATATGGGTGCTAGGAACCAGACCTGGGTGCTCTGCAAGAGCAGCCAGTGCTCTGAACTGGTGAGCCATCTCTCTAGCCCCCCTCCTCCCCGAGTGTATTTTGATATTTGAAATGAATCATATGAAAATGAATCATAGGTAGGATGGGTTTATGAAAGTTCCTGATAAAAAGTAAAGACAGCTGCCATTTTTACTGTGTGTATTTGAGTGCATGTATATATGGATATATAATACATGCTTACCCGTGTAATCTATGCAGTTATATATGGGGTTTGTCATTGTATATTTCTGTATATCCAAGATAAACAGTTTTCTTTTAGAAACAGCTAGCTGACCATTCAAGATGTACATAGTAATATGTGCTTGTTAAGAATAAAAAGAATTGCGTCCCAGGGCTGTGAGTATAACTTGGTGGTAGACTGTTTGCTTTGTATGCATGCAGCTCTGTGTCCACTCCTCAGGGCCACAAAATAGCTGCCATTGTGTTTATAAACAACCTGTAAAATTTTGGCACATTTCAAACCATCCCTTCCATGTAGTTGAATATCTATGTATGTATTGGTATATATACCTGTATCAACTGTATACATGTTTATGCATGCCTGTGCCTATGCATAAGTTTTCTTTTGCTGTGTGACTTAGTGGTATAAAAACAGCCATTTTTACCCTGCTCTGCCATGGTTCTTGGGGTTGAATTGCTCAGGGAGTTGCTTGTTGCTTGGAGTCTCTCATGTAGATGCTGTCAGAATGTAGCTGGGGCTGGAGACTTTTCATGGGTTTCCTGACTTGCATGTCTGATGGTTGGCACTTTCTGTCAGGTAGACTTCAGTGATGCTGGCCGCCACAGCTTCACGTAGCCTCTCTGTGGTCTGGGCTTTTTCCTAGCATGGTAGTTGTGTTCTTTTTAAAATTTTTTTTTTGTGTTTTTGAGACAGGGTCTCCCTGTAGCCCCAGCTGGCCTGAAACTCACTTTGTAGACCAGGCTGGTCTTGAACTCACAGAGCTCCTCCTGCCTCTGCCTCCCAAGTTCTAGGACTAAAGGTATGCATCACCATGCCCGGCAGTAGCTGTGTTCTAAGGAGATCAGAGACAAGAACTGTGTTGTGTTACTTTGGAAGTCCTCTAGCTTCTCTCCCACCACATCTGATTAGGTAGACGTTCTCAGGACTAGCACCTATTAAGGGATGTTAAGGAAGAATGTAAAAAAAAAAAAAATCTGTGAATTTTGTTTTTCTGTATTGAAACCATGCAAGCTTTTTTTTTTTTTGTTGTTGTTGTTGTTAAGTTCGTTTGTTTGTTTGTTTTGAGACAGGGTCTTGTTATATAGCCTAAGCCGGTCTGGAACTTGTAATCCTTCTGCCTCAGGTTCCCAATCGCTGAGTTTATAGTTACATATCACTACCAAGCCTGGCTCTTGTATAAATTACTAAAAATTTTTTAAATTTATTTTTATTTTATGACTATTGTTTGCATGTATGTCATTGCACCCATGTCATTCAATGTCCATGGAGGGGAGGTCAGTAGAGGGTGTCAGATCCCCTGGAACTGGAGTTAAGGATGGTTGTTAGCTGCCATGTGGGTGCTGGGCACTGAACTCGAGTCTTCTGCGAAGCAGCAGAAGCTCTTAATCACTGAGCCATCTCTCTAGCTCCTTGTATAAGTTTTTAAAATGAACCTTTTTCTCAATCTTGTTAATGTAGCAAATAACATTCTTTGACTCCTAAATTCACCATTTTTAAATTATTCATATTGTTTTATTGTGTCTGGTAGAAGATTTTTCAGCTAGAACCTCAGGATCCTTCAACTTCTGGAGGTTCTGCCTTAATCATGCAGCAAGACATGCAAAACTTGGTTAAGAATGGACCTTGTGCCCAGGGCTTCACTGTTCACTGAAGGCATGGTTTTAGACAGCTTAACTTTTCTAAGGCTTTTCTTCCTTTTTTAATGAAACAAATCTAATGTAATTATAAACATTGCTCAAATTCATGAGGCTTATTCTCATCTCACAGCTTTTGCACTTGCTCTTCCTTGGCCTGGGTTGCCCTGTCCCCTATTCAGGTTCTTAGTTCCCTTTGTGTCCTTGAATACAGGTCCTCTGCTTGGGTTTTCTCCATTTATCACATAGGGTTTTTTCTCCCTGTGTTGTTCTCACTCTCATCAGCTTGTGCTTTACAGTTGTCTTGCTTATTTACTTGCTTTGATCTGCCTTGCTCCGTTCCTGAGACAAGGGAGCTTACATACGTGATCCCCACAGTACCCAGCATCTTAGAGCAGGGCCCCATGCTTTAGAAGTCCCTGTTAAGTAGTTTTCTTTAGAATGAATGACAGAGTGAAGGGATCCATTCCTCACTGGCTTGTTTGCAGTGATGCCTATAGCAGATTGTATGCTACTGTGTGTAGATAATATAGAACTGTGTTTATAATATAAACATGATGAATATTTAACAGCAAATAGACCTAGATGGGTAAACAAAATTTAATGGTGTTAACATTTTACTCCATACAGGAGGAATTCTTCCATAATCCTCAAGCCATAGACATTGAGTCTGAGGACTTCATCAGTTTGCCACCTGAAGTAAAGCATGAGATTTTAACTGACATGAAAGAATTTACCAAGAGAAGACGGACATTGTTTGAAGCCATGCCAGAGGTACAATACCCAGCAGTATGCAGTAGCACACCAATGCTTAGAAGTAAGAACATAAAGTTCACTAGAAGGAGGAAAAAATCAGTAGACAGTACTTAGAGTCTGAGTCTCCACCTTAGTATCTCAGTTTTCAGGACATAGTGTATATCTAAGACCCCTTGAGGCATTATTTATTTTTAAATATTTTTATTCATTTTTATTTTATGTGTATGAGTGTATTGCCTGCATGTATGTGAGTGCACCCATGTTGTGCAATGCCGCAGAGGTCAGAAGAGGGCTTCAGATTCCCCTGGAACTGGAGTTAAGGACGATTCATAGCTGCCATGTGTGTTCTGGGAATCGAACCTGGGTCCTCTGCAAGAGCAGTTAGTGCTCTTAACTGCTGAGCCATCTCTCCAGCCCTTGAGGCATCATTTATTTACACATTACAACTCATAAACTGGAAGAAGTCTCCTGGGCCTCACACCCAAGGCCAGGCTTTTTCTCTCTGTTCTCAGCTGCAGAAGCTGCCTGGCCTGGTCATCCCTTTAGGCTTAGCAGGTAGCTCAGTGTCTCACACAGTAAGTGCCCACCATGTGCTTGCTTAATGATTCATTTCTTAGGTTAGTAAGTTATTGTAAATCACAATATACATTGTCTATAAAAACTAATAACATGGAGAATATGCTGTGACTTAACTCTGGATGTGGGATTGTGTGTGTTCCTCTCTCCTTATCAGTGGTGAGAATGTGACTTCTTCAGCGTGGAACCCCTGCTGGTGACTTTACAGTCTCAGGAAGCTGGAGCAGGGTGATGTGTGTGATTGTGTGTAGCTGAGCATCTCCTGATCATGCTGCTGTTACTTAATCCATGCTACCGTTAGATACTGTCTTCAGTTCTGATGAGTGAGCTCCGCTTAGCTTTCTGTTGTCACCACCTAGTGTTCCTAACTGTTCTCTCTTAACTCACTGTGGAAGTATAAATTTGTAGCATCATTCTTAATGAATTGATGCAGTGTTTTTTAAACTTGCTAAAGACTTTTGGATGCTTCTTAGATTGATACCAGAAATGAAAAAAGCAAGATATATTTCTTTTTCCATTCCTCTCTTTTACTTTTCTATGTATATGGAAATAAGATAACTAAAGTGTACAGAAATGATATTGTTGGCTCTTTGTGTGCCATAAATTTTATGTATGTATTTATGTATATATGTATGTATGTATTTATGTATGTATGTATGTATGTATTTATTTATTTATTTATTAGTTTTGGTCTTTTTGAGGCAGGGTCTCCCTGTAGCCCCAGCTGTCCTGGAACTCATTATGTAGACCAGGCTGGCCTTGAATTCACAGAGATCCACCTGCCTCTGCCTCCCGAGTGCTGGGACTAAAGGCATGTGCCACCACCCGGCAAGGTAACCCTTAAATTTCTTTTCACATTGTATATGTATATATTTAAGAAACTTCTCTCATAGTAGTTTCCATATGGCTTTTTTTCTAAAGGCCTTTCGTTCTCCCTCCCCATATTCCCTCCTATACCCTGCCCCCCCCATTCCCCACCCCAGTTAACCCTTCGTACTCTTTCCCCATTGTCCTACCTTTCAGATTTCATTTTTGTGCTATGAAACTACCCATGTGGGGAAGGGATGGGAAAATGGTATTAATGTAAAGCAAAATTTTTCCTTATTTTGCCTTTAGGAATCTAATGACTTTTCACAGTACCAACTGAAAGGCTTGCTCAAGAAAAACTATCTAAACCAGCACATAGAAAATGTCCAAAAGGAAATGAATCAGCAGCACTCAGGACAAATCCAGAGGCAATATGAAGACGAAGGGGGCTTTCTGAAGGAGGTAGAGTCAAGGAGAGTGGTCTCTGAAGACACCTCACACTACATCTTGATAAAAGGTATCAGCTGTCCTCATTTACCTGACAGTTAAAAACATAGTAAGGATACAATGTGCTCTTGTCACCATGCTATCCCTGCCTGCTGCTGTGTCTTCCTTACCATGATGGGCTGTGTTCTTTTGAAGCTCTACCAGGCAAAGACAGAGAGCATCTGCGAACTGCTGTGTGCTTGTGATTGCAGTGGCCCTGCCATATCCAGAAGACAGTGCTGCATAAGGTTCCTCTCCACCCTGTGGCTCCTGTAGTCTCTCCACCTCCTCTTCCATGATATTCTCTGGATCTTAGTGCGTGCGTGCGTGTGTGTGTGTGTGTATGTGTGTGTGTGTGTGTATGTGTATGACGAATGGCTCATTTAAGGCTCAGCCCTTAGAAGTTGCTTGTTCTCAGTACTTCCAACAGCCTTGGGACTCTGCATTGACTGTTACCGTCTTCAAGGGGAAGCTTCTCTGGCTCAGATTGGTGGCAGCACTAGTCTATAGGTATGAACATAAATGTTTGAGAAGCAGTTTGACTAATGTCCATTTAGCAAAATATCAATAGTGCATTTTTCCCAACCATGAGATTTTGACCAGGTTTACACTATGCGATAAGTATTTCCTCTTATAGACTGGACTTCAGATCCAGTTGGACAGCATACTGGTTGATCCCAGAATATTCTTGCCACTTTTGTACCAGTGGGCACATCTGGACCCACCCCTGGGAAAGACCATTGATGGGCTTCTCTTCCCAGCAACCTGCCTAGCACCTTTGAGCATGTGTGGGCTAGTCAGTGGGGAGACTTCTAGTTTGGTTCCTGCTTGATTTCTCTGTGTCCTGGGATGTGTGTGTCTTCAGTGATAGGGTTTTACCATCAAGTTCTGGTGCATAAGAAGAGTAGTAACAATACCTTGTGCTGTTCCTGGGGCTTCTGGATGCTTTCTGGCCAAGGACTCATAGGTAGTGTTCTGCACTTGGCACTGAGTTTTTGTTTGAGACCCTGTGGATTCTGGGATCAGTATCATCAACTCTTGAAGGATACCTCGGTTCAAACTTTTTTTTTGGTCTTTTTGAGACGGTCTCCCTGTAGCCCTAGCTGCCCTGGAATTTGCTATGTAGACCAGGCTGTCCTTGAACTCACAGAGATCCGCCTGCCTCTGCTAGGATTAAAGGTGTACGCCACCATGCCTGGCTACAGTGATTTTTTTTTTTTAATTGTGTTTTTTTTGGTTGTTTTATACAGTGATGAGTTTCCATACATCTTTGGTTCTAGTTGACCCTCCCTACAACCATCACTCTCCAGCTATCCCTCTACCTGTTTCCCCATTTAAACCTTGTGCCCCTAGCATCCTACTTTCTTATCAATGTGGAGAAAAAAAATGAGAGAAAAAGAACGGACACATGAGCCTCAGTTTTTGTATGGTAGAGAAAGCAGCAGAAATTGAAAGCTTAAGACTGAGGGAAGAGGCTGGAGCTTGATTTCCAGTTCTGCTGCTCTGGTGCTGGGGTAGATGGGCTTAACCCCTCTGAGTCTTCGCCTGTTATTATCTTAAAAAAACAAAACCTTATTATTTTTATTTTATGTGTATGCATGTATTGCCTGCGTGCACCCGTGTTGTGCAGTGCCCGCGGAGGATAGAAGAGGCTGTTGGATCCCCTGGAACTGGAGTTATGGACAGTTGTTAGCTGCCATGTGGGTGCTGGGATTCAAACCCGGGTCCTCTGCAAGAACAACCAGTATTCTTAACCGCTGAGCCATCTCTCCAGCCCTGAGCCTGTTACTATCTTTGATATAGGTTTGTTTTGCAGGCCATGTGAGATCATGTGTGTAAAGTGTCCAGTTTGTGACTGATAGCTACTGATAACTATAATTATCTATCAGTTTATACTACACATTCACTTTATGATTGTGTTTTGCTCCCGTTCACAATAGCATATCTTAAAACATTTTTTAAAGCATGTTGTCATTGTGATGGGTGTAATTGTAATTTCCATTTTATTTTGAGAGACTGTGAGAAGAAATCAGGTACATCAAAGTAATTATTTAGCATTTAAAAGTGCAACCTATAAAACCATGTTGCTGAAAGAAAAATGTCATTTTGTGTCAGTCTAGAATTTGTAGTTTCAGGAACATTGTAAAATTTGGTTCAGTTGTCTCTGTTTTCTTGGGGGATGGAGATATTTTTCATTATAGCTTTTATGATTGTAACATAGCTTCAACAGCACCTTTGAATTTGCTAGACAGTAAAACAATAAAGACCATTTTATAAATGGAAAATTTAAATTAAAAACCTAGGATATATTATGGCTCAGAGTTGTGGTAAATGCCACCCATGGATAATGCCAGTGGAGTTCTGCTTAGATAATAACAGTTGTACTTAGCTATTAATGGATTAACTACTGCCAGGCCAGCCACTTTAGAATGAATAAATGAATGAATTCTTAGTACCTGATTTAATAAAAAATATCACTTTTTTAATGGGAACCAGTATTTTCTTGTTCATCTTCATAGAAATACATTGTCATATGGTAAAACTGTACACTGAGAGATGTTTGAATTTTTCTTAAGGTATTCAAGTCAAGAAAGTTACGGAGGTGGATTCAGAGTCTCTTCCTTCTTCCAGCAAAATGCCCGGCATGCCTCTTGACCTGAAATCATTGCCCAATGAGAGAGTGAAGCCAGAGAAAGAGCCTGCTGCTGCCCCTCCTTCTCCAAGAACTTTACTAGCTATGCAGGCAGCCATGCTGGGGAGTAGCTCAGAGGATGAGCTAGAGAGTGGAGATGGGAGGCAGACCAGGGACAGGAGCTCACGGGCCACTGCAGACTCAGGCTCCATATCACCACAGACCCTCGCTGCAATTCAGAGAGCTCTGGTTGATGATGAAGACGAAAAGGTGTGTGCTAGGGGTGATGTGCCAGAGAAAGGGACAGCATTGAGAACTCCAGGCGGTGAAGAAGATGGGAAAGTGTATGCTGGTGGTGATAGGTCTGGAGAAGGACCAGCGATGAGAGCACTGGGTGATGCCATAGATGGGAAAGTGTGTGCTGGTGCTAATAAGCCTGTGGAGGGGCCAGTGCTGAGAGTACTGCTTGGAAACAGTCTTGACCAGGAGCACATCGAAAGAGCTGAAATGGGAGGTGGAGGAGTGCTGTTTACAACGGCTCCTCCTTCAGCCAACATGACCTCGGTAGAGGAGCATGAAGCCAGCTTGAGTAGTAAAAAGCAGCAGACAGACTCCGCTTATCCCTTGAGTACTACTTGTCATCAAGCTGGTGCATCTGAGCCTCCAAAAGAGCAAGTGTCACCTGTTCACGTCGTCAATGAAGCCACTCAGATAAGCAGTGAATCTGAGGTTGAGCATAGGAGTGGTCCCCCTTCCATTAGCATTTCACACAGTGATGCCCCTGGGCTCCCCACATCGCCACTTCCAGGAACGAGTTCTGAACCAAGGGAGGACATACACCCGACAGATCCCGAGCTACAGAAAGATCTCTGCCTGCCCAAGAGTGAGTATGATTCCTCTCATCGTTCAAGTGATGGTGAGACAGATGGTGGACAGAACCCTGCTTCGAAAGTTGCCATCGCTTTACAGGACCCGCAGAACACAGCTTATGTCTCTTCAGAGGCAATAGGCAACTTAGAAAATGTATTGTCTTCTAATGCTGAAGAGCCTGGAGATGACTTGAAAACCATCCAACAGCAGGAGACCCCTGAAGCTGCTGCCCAGGCACTGATTTCAGTCCCAAAGCCCATGGAACCTATGGAGATGGACTCAGAAGAGAGCGAGTCTGACGGTAGGCCTGGGCTCCTTTAAGGGAGTGGGTGGGAGAATCTCATGTCTGCAGGGACTGGGAGACCCCGAAGAGTAGCCTTGTTCCACTTTACAGCAGAGGCACCAGGAAGGAAAAGACATGAGCTTCACACAGCCAGGATGGGGATGCTCCTCCTTCCTGCCTTCTGGGCTGCCCGTTGATGTGTTTACAGGGAGGTAGTGCCCTGGTTGGAGAAAGGAAAGCCGAATTTCCCTTTATTTTTTGTTAACTTTTTACTTTGAAGTAATTACAGACTTTAAAAGATTGAAGGGACAGCACAGGATACTGGCTGATTCACATGGCACCTCAGTAGCCAACATTTTACCACACTGGTTCTATCCTCTCCCTCTCTTTCTCTTGCGCTGCATGCATGCCCTCCATGTATATCTCCTCTCTCTATGTCACTATCTTTGTGCACAGATATACCAATGAGCCTCATTATTTTTAGATTCCATATTTGTGCAGCTGCTTACTCACTAAAATTTGCGACTCCAGGTTAAAGGCACTTTGGTGCCTTTGTAGGCATTCACAGACATTTGCAAGGCGTGGGAAAATTAGTGGTCACACTGTCCCACAGAGGTCATATCAGGGAGATGCTCTGTCTGGCTTCAGAGCACCTTCAAAGACCACCAGGGACCACTGATGGGTAGTGCATCAGAGAGCAGGAAGCTCCGTCTGGGAAGCCTGCCGACTCTTGCCCCCACAGGGTGACCTTAGGCAAGTCTTAATACTTCTAAACCTCATTTCTTGGTTATAAAATAAAGCAGGATCTGCCAAGATGGGTTGTTTTTGGCTTTCACAGTAAGTAATATAAAAAAATGTATATACACATGTGCTTGTGTATATATATATGCTTGTGTGTGTGTGTGTGTGTGTGTGTGTGTATGTGTGTGTGTGAAGCATGTGTATTTGCTAATTTATTATTTGAAATGACTGTAAACCACACCTCAAGTAGTGAAGATAGCTGTAGATTTGTGCACTCAAATTTTGTGTCCTGGTATCTGTCAGATTTCTGTTATTATTTATTCAGAACTTTTTTTTTTGAGATGGGTCTTGGCCTTTTGAGATAGCCTAGGCTGCTCTCAAACTCTCAAACTTATGTAGTTGCTGGCCTTGAAGTCCCAACCCTCCTGTCTTCACCTCCTGAGTGCTGGGATGGTGGGTGTTTGCCACCTGCCTGGCTAGATGTCTACATTTTTTTTTCTTTTTTTTTTTTTTCAGTGTTTTTGAGACAAGGGTCTCCCTGTAGCCCCAGCTGGCCTGGAACTCCTACGTAGACCAGGCTGGCCTCAAACTCAAAGAGATCCGCCTGCCTCTACCTCCCAAGTGCTGGGATTAAACATTTGTGCTACCACGCTTGGAGATTTCTACATTTTAAAGTTAGTTTTCCCAGTTCGTCAGTTAGTGCTTCATGGAAAGGAATTTGGAGGCTGTGAAAATTTGCTGCACCCAAGCAAGCTTTCACCCACTTGTTTTAGTATCCCTGGGCAAGTTCTGTCTGAACAGAGTGCTACTCTGATGATTTACAACTCCATCTCTCTGTCTGTATCCTACTATAAAGAAGGTCTTTCCCTTCTCTCCCATTTATTATTATTTGTCAGTGCAGATTCTTTGAGTGCAGTTTTATCCAGTGCATGATAGTCCAATGCTATCATTTACTTTGTTGCTGGAATTGTCCCAGCTTTGGCCAGTGTTCATGGGAAGCAGATTTTTCAAGCAGGCTCCTATGGCTTTTGTCAGTTCCTTATTGTATTGTGAGCATTTCTGTGCTTTCTGGCCAGGATGATCCAGGCTTTTGCACTGATCTGCTGTGACCCCAGATCAGCAGCTCTCCAAGGAGCTGAGACCCTTTCAGTGGAGCTCACAGGCCAGGCAGTGACTGACTGCTGGGTGAGCTTTCTGTTCCTATCTGTAGCAGTCAGGAAATAATATGTATACATACACATGCACACAGACATCAGTATTTATTTTTGTGTTCATCTATCTTTATTTTGAAATCCATGAGTTCTTTTCATTTTCTGCAATTCCATTTCAACATCCCCTCTCCTTTTTGGCTTTTCCTTGGCTCTACCCCCACCCTTTGTCCTATTTCCTGAAACTCAGTTCAGCAGACCTTGCAGCCCTCTCTGCTGGAGTATTTTCTAAACAGTGGGAAACACAAGGGAGATTGGAAGGAAAGCAGAAGAGGAAGCGCTACTTCTGAGAAATTTCCAGGATTCTTTTGGCTTTATTCTTTGTTGAGTTCATAGTGAAAGCGCATACAAATATTTAATATCCTCATGATGATTGACTTTTATAATTCCCCTTGCTGAATTTTTAAACAATATTAGTTCACAGAACATCTGTATAAAACTAATAATGCATCTTTGAGTGTTTGATTCCTAATTTCAGTGGCAGTTTATCTAATGGGAAAAGCTCATTTGGAAGTTGTGGGCATTTGTGATTCATTTGTTTAATAATAACGAATTAGTTGCGTGTTTGCTGTTGTGGTCAGATCCTCTCTTTAGGGTACGACATTCTTTGGGCAAAGCTCTTACATCCCTGTTATAGCATTGTATATATGTGACTAGGAAGTGACACCATTATTTTTGTACAGGAAGCTTCATTGAAGTGCAGAATGTGCTCAGTGATGGTGAACTTCAAGCTGAGTCATGTGATGCTTCCAAACCTCCCTCTGAACAAGATGAAGAGGGACCAAGAGGAGCTGTGGAGGAAGGAAACCCTGGGGACTCGGGGTGCCTCCCACAGGACAGCTCTGAAAGTGAGGACTCAGACATGGAGCACAAAGGAGCTGACAGAGATGCAGAGGACTCTCCTAATGAATGGCAAGATATTAATTTGGTAATAATGTAATAATGTGTTTTAACTTATTGCTAAGGAAGCCGGGCCAAGTAGCTTTTGAGATTTAAAGAGTTGCTGGATGAATATTTATTAGCCATTTGTAACTCATCTTCTTGTCATTGATAGCTCCTTTTTTAAATGGAGGTTATTCTCTGGGGTAGATCCATTTTCCATATGATTTAGTGAGGGAACAGGAAGTTATTAGTCTCGCTTAGAAATCCAAGTGGAATACAATGTAAGGAAGAAAAGCTTATTTGTAATTTCAGCCAGAGGAAATGCAGGCTTCCTGCAACAAATGAACATAATTGGATTATTAATATAATTATCTGCAAATGAGAACTTATATTGCAGGAGGAGCTAGAAACCCTGGAAAGTAACCTTTTAGCTGAGCAGAATTCACTGAAAGCTCAAAAACAGCAGCAGGAACGGATTGCCTCCACTGTAACAGGACAGATGTTTCTGGAAAGCCAGGTAGGTGAGTTTAGCTTGGACCTCCTTGACACTGTCCTCAACCCTGGAGGGGATGCGCCTAAGTGTGTGCCCTCTAGTGGTTGAGGCCTGCAGTGCATGTCCCTGTAGCATGGTCAATGTTTCACTGCAGGAACTCTTGCGCCTGTTTGGCATTCCTTACGTCGAGGCTCCCATGGAGGCAGAGGCGCAGTGTGCCATCCTGGACCTCACTGATCAGACTTCTGGAACTATCACTGATGATAGTGATATCTGGCTGTTTGGAGCCCGGCATGTCTATAAGAACTTTTTTAATAAAAACAAGTTCGTAGAGTACTACCAATACGTGGACTTTCACAACCAATTAGGTGAGACTTCAGAGAATGATGACTTTCTGAAATTTACCCTCAGAGTTGGCCTTGTGAAGTTTTTCTTTCCAAGGAACTAATTGGATGCATGAATGGAAATAGGTGATCTGTTCAAGGTTTCATATAAGTCATCTTTTGCTTATATAGATGAGTATAGGATTTTAAAAATTGGATTTAGCAGTTAAAATACTAATGTATTTAGATATTTCCTGCAGTTTAATCTGTGACCTGGCTAGGTGACTAGTTACTTGAAAGTGAACTACAATGGGGGACTTGGGGAGATGGGGGTAATGGGGCATGGAGGGTGGAGGGAAGTGGGCATGGTGGGCAGCCATCTCTGCTGGGATGGTGTATCTGTACTGACTGTGGCATTTATCCATCAGTTCATCTGGGAAATGCACATTGAGTGACTCCCGTATGTAGTTATTCTCGACAACAGGGAAACAGCAGAGGATAGCTCAGCCTAGTAGAAGAAAGAGATGCTCACTACATTTACAGGTCACATTTTGACAGTTGCATCTACCAGAGAGCACCTGATGTTGCCGATGGAGTCTTGTCAGGGAATGCTTTTGTCTGTAGGCAGCCTGGGGCAGGGCCGTGAGGGAATAGAAAGCAAGTGCTGTAAGTAGCTCTGTGGAGGGACTTAACCAGTGCAAAGACCCTGAGGCAGAAATTTCCTATGTACATGTTCTAGGGAAGCAAGGAGGCCAGTGGGAATGGGGGACGAGGGTGACAGCAAGTGTTCACATCAGAGAGAAGGTGCCAAAGCCTAGAAGTGTCTAGTACACCAGAGAAAGGAGAGTGGGTGGCCTGGATGCGGGGGTGCAGGAGGAGAGGGTTCAGGCCTTCAAGTCCTGAGTCATTGGTAGAGCAGCTTGGAAGAAGGGAAAGTAATGTGTTCAGTTTGAGATGCTTACTAGATACCCACATGGACATACTCAGATGATAGTTGAATGTATACGCCTATGGTCTGAGAGAGCCAGACCAGACCTCTAACTTTAGAGGTCATCATATAGAGAATTCAAAGTGAGAATGACTTCATAGGGTGCCAGGTGTGGTGGCACACGCCTTTAATTCCAGCACTTGGGAGGCAGAGGCAGACAGGCAGATCTCTGTGAGTTCAAGGCCAGCCTGGTCTACATAGTGAGTTCTAGGCTAGCTGGTGCTACAGGGAAACCCTATTTGAAAAAAAAAAAAAAGACCCCCCCCCAAAAAAAATCTCAACAGAATGCTATGTTAGAACCTATTTTAAAATAAAAAATGTGTCTTTGAAATTTGGATTAACCTATGTAGAGCTACATACACAATTTATACAATACAATGTTTGTAAATGTTCTCACAGGGTTGGACCGGAACAAGTTAATCAATTTGGCCTATCTGCTGGGCAGTGATTACACTGAAGGGATTCCGACTGTAGGCTGTGTAACAGCCATGGAGATTCTCAATGAATTCCCTGGACGGGGCCTGGAACCACTCCTAAAATTCTCGTAAGATCTTATATAAATAGATTAACAAATAGAATCTTTGCTTTTTTTCTGTTTTTTGGTTTACTTTTTTTGTTGTTGTTATTTTGTCTTTTTTTTCTTCAAGTTGAGCACTGAACCCGGGGCCTCTACCACTGAGCTAAATCCCCAACCCCTGTTTGTTTGTTTTTTGAGCTGAGGTCTCACCATATTAAAATTACAGTCCTCCAGCCTCAGCCTCCTGAGTAGCCCAGACTGTAGGTCTGTGTCAGAACTGTTCTCTTAAATTCCGAGCTGTCACAAATCCTTGTTCATTGAGGGAACAGCAGGAGATAGTGGTTGTGGTTTCTAGAGCTCTGATGAGTTTGTTTCCCTCTTTAGTGGGGTGGGGCTTATCCTCTTTCAAGGGCACAAAGCCAGTTCTGCAGCTCCTGTGTGTGAGCTGCCCTTCCATTCAAACGTTTGTACAGTAGCAGCTGTGAGCCAGACAGGGCAGCCCTTGATGATGGGAAAGGTGAGTGAGTTACAGCCTCTGCCCCAATGGAGCTCATTGTGGTCTTGGAGAGATGGAGAAGCAAATGAAGTTGTTCTCCACATTTGGTGTTAGGAAAGAAGTCCACCAGAAAAGAGCCTAGAAATGAAGGCCAGGAACTTTACACACAGGTTGCTATCCATGAAAACTCATGTGCCCACCAGAAGTGTGCTAGACATAAGGTACAACTTTTTATTTTTAAAAAAATTTATTATTTTTATTTTATGTGTATGAGTGTTTTGCCTGCATGTGTGTTAGTGTATCGGTTTTGTGCAATGCCCTTGGAGGTCAGAAGAGAGCATCCAATTCCCCTGGAGTTAGAGTTAATGAACTGTTGGTAGCCGCCATGTGGGTGCTAGGAATCAAACCTGGGTCCTCTGCAACAGCAGCCAGTGCTTTTAACCTCTGAGCCATCTCTCCAGCCCCTGAGGTACAACTTTTTAACCTTTTCTTATTGCTATGACAGAACACCTGACACAAGTAATTGAAGGAAGGAAGGATTTATTTTATTTACTTTGGTTTACAGTTGGAGAGCACAGTCCACCATGGTGGAGAAGGCATGGTGACAGAAGCTTGAGGCAGCTAGTCACATGGCTTTCGCAGTCATGAGGCAGAGAGAGATGAATACTGGGGCTCAGCTCACTTCTTCCTGTTTATTCAATCTGGACCCCACCCCGTGGGATGTGCTGTTCATGCTTAGGGTGGGTTTTCACACCTAAATGAAATGAACTCAGTCTAGAAACTCCTGCACAGACAAACCAGACGTTTGTTTTCTAAGTGATTCTAGATCCTGTTAATCTAACAGTATTAACTATGGGAGATTCTGAGATGGTAGGAGCTGTGTCTCTGAAAGTAGTTTTTTTAAAGTTAGGTTTATGCATTTTGTGTGTGTGTGCGTGTGCATGTGTGTGTGCAGGGAGTGTGTGCATATTGACATGGTATACATGTGAAAGTCAGTGGACAACTTGTAGGAGTCAGCTCGCCTTCCATGATGTGGGTCCTGGGCATTAAACTCAGGTTGTCAGGCTTGGCAGCAAGCACCTTTACTCAGTAAGTCATCTTGCTGGCCCTGATAAGTGTTTTTTTCTTAAGGTTTTCCCTTGATGACATTCTTTAAAAAGCTTGACATATGACTCATATAACAAAGTCACCCCTTTAAAGAGTTCAATTCGTGGGGCTGGAGAGATGGCTCAGCAGTTAAGAGCACTGACTGCTCTTGCAGAGGACCCGGGTTTGATTCCCAGCACCCACATGGCGGCTACAAGCCGTCCTTAACTCCAGTCCCAGGGGAATCCGAAGCCCCCTTCTGACCTCTGCACCATTGCACTACATGGGTGCACTCACATACATGCAGGCAATACACTCATACACATAAAATAATAAATATTTTAAAGTAGCACATTTGGGAAAAAATGTTTAAAAAAGATACATCACAAATAAGAGGACCATGAGAGATATAACATTTAAACACATACACACACACACACACACACACACACACACACACACACACACTCAAAAACACACACGCTGACACACACTC